ACCCGGCTCTCCAGGAGTTTGGAGCCATGTGGTTGGAAGCCACACCAGTGTGAGGCAGGGCCCGCTGAGCCGCTTTGGTGTTCTCTTTTGCTGCCTGGATTGAGGTGGGCTCGGTTTAGTACCTACAGAACCGGAAGAGCCACTACACCAGCATTGAAACTGTCACCCTACCCCCAGCTGCCCTGTGGTCCTAACAGACACTGAAACCAGCTCCATCAAGAGCCTCCACGAACTACTTCCGGATTGAGAACCCTAAACATAGATAACACAGAGACCAATAGGAACCACCTATGGCCAGGAAATCAGTTGTCACATCCTTCCCACATCCTTCCCACACCCACCTTGTGAGCTCCTTGGCTTGCAGGAATCCCCCAGACCAATAGCGAGTGATTTTTATTTTTGTCTTTGGTTTTTTCCTTTTCTTGTTTCATTGTTTTTGTTTGTTTATTCTTTCTCCTCCTCGTCCTCCTTCTCTTTACATCCTCTTGAATTTTATCCTTTTTATCTCTGCTGGGTTTTTTCTCTTCTTTTCTTCTGTTTCTTATTTCCCCTCGTTTTCCTTTTTTACCTTTCTTTCTTTCTTTACTGCTCTTTACTCTCTCTTTTCATCTTCCCTCTCCCTGGTTTTTCTAAGAGTTTTTTTTGTTTTTGTTTTTTTCATTTCTTCTTTTAATTTCCTCTTCTATAGTTCTATTTTCCTGTCCTTTTATCTTTTTTAGTTATTCTTAAGTGCTTTTTCCATTTATTCCTTTTATTTCCTCATCTATAGCTCTGGTAGCGTAATGGTTATGAATCGGGCCGTGAACCTTAAGGTTAGTTGTTTGAAACTACCAGCCGCTCCGCCGGAGAAAGATGAGGCTTTCTGCTCCCGTAAAGATTTATAGCCTCAGAAACCCTGTACAGGGTCACTATGGGTCGGAACCGACTCGATGGCACTTAACAACAACATAGCGTCATTACCCTGTTTCTCTTTTATATTTATAGTTATCTTATTACTTTTTTTCTTGTTGCTGCCAATTTTAATTTCTGTTTCCTCTTCATTATTTTTTATTAATCTTTAATACTAAGATCTCAGAAATGGACAATACATTAAAAGGGCAAAACAGTAAATGCAAAGCAATGGAAACCAAATTACTGAGCTTGTAGATAAATCTCTCAATGCTAGTATGCTAAAAGAACTAGCAGAAAAAAGAATGAAAAAATCTGAAGGAAAAAGTTATGGGGAGGAACAATTTATGGATGGTTGGAATTCCAGAACAGAAAGAGACAATAAAAATCACAGAGAAAATTGTCCAAGAGTTGCTGAAAGAAAACTCCCCTAACATCAAGAAAGATGAGAAGGTGAATATTCAAGAAGCTGAATGAAACCCAAACAGCTTAGCCCCCAAAAGAAAATCACCAAGACATATCATAATCAAACTCTCCAAAATCAAAGACAAGGAAAGAATCCTGAGAGCAGTTCTGGAAAAATGAAATGTTACCTACAAAGGAGAGACAATAAAACTAAGCTCTGATTTCTCAGCAGAAACCATGCAGACAAGAAGGTAATGGGATGGCATATATAAAATTCTGAAAGAAAAAGACTGCTAACCAAGAATCATATACCCACTATATCTGTCCCTCAGTTACAGTGGTGAAATTAGGAGATTTCCTGATAAACAGAAACTAAAGGAATCTGTAATGACCAGACCAACTTTCAAAAAATGCTAGAAGGTGTTCTTTGGACTGAGAACCAACAACAGCAGATAACAACCTGAGATTACTATACATGATGACACCACCCAGAACTTAATCCAGATAGAGAAGTATTAAAAATAAAACAAACTTGAGACTGAAAGTGGGCAATAATAGATATCAATTTATAATTAAGTCAACTACAAAGCAAAAATAGGGACTAGTGTAGACA